CATGTGACAACTATCCATCCCCTCCCCTTAAATGTATTGTTTGTGTTTAGTAGTATTACTACTAATGTAATGATTTCTAAATGTAGTGTTGGTGTTTAGTAGTGTTACTACTAATGTAATGATTTCTAAATGTAGTGTTGGTGTTTAGTAGTATTACTACTAATGTAATGATTTCTAAATGTAGTGTTGGTGTTTAGTAGTATTACTACTAATGTAATGATTTCTAAATGTAGTGTTTGTGTTTAGTAGTATTACTACTAATGTAATGATTTTATTATTAGTCATCCATTTTTTTATATTAACAAATATAAACTGTTCAACAGTATACACTGGTTATTTTAAGGATTTTTTTGCCCAAGAAGAATGATAAAAGAAGACCCTGAAGACTTTTGGCTTTGAATTTAAAGATACATGTACTTAATCAGTTAAATGAGTTAATTACTAACTTCATGGCAAGGGTGAGAACATACTCTCACCATGACATGTAGATTGAACAATGTATCTCTTCTAAGAAATCTCTTTATTGTGTTTTTAAAACCATTTTACAACATTTTAAAGTTTAAATTAATTAGCACAAGTGCTGATCACCAATATTTATTACTTATTAATTCTAAAAATGAAAAAAAACAACTTTTATCCAAGAAACTTTATCATAATTGAAAGATTCAGATGTATACAAAATGTTACTTAAACATCTGTTGTGTAACAGTATTCACAAGCCCCAACACAATACAATTATATTTAGTACAAACTGATTAAATCAAGTAAAGATCCAAGGAGAGTGAAAGAACAAAATTTCCAAACATAGTCTGTGAATGTGGATTCAAATTCATTGGAGAATCAAAAAGACCAACAAAAGGCAGAAATCAGTAACATAATAGACATACAAGAGCCTGTAATACTGATTTTTCTGCAATAGCCAATTATTTCAGAGAACAAAAAATTAAAATGGAATAATATGAAAATAATGGATATTAACTACAAACGAGAAGAAAAAAGGGAAGCCTTCCACATCTACTTAACTGATAACACACTTGATTAAGGTAGCATAGAAGCCAGAAAAAACCTGGATATCTCTCTTGTATCCATCCCAAGTTCTAATGGAGAGACGTCAGATGAGCTGATAGCATCCCAGTCCTTCTAACGAAAAGAATCAAAATCAAATCCCAGCCACTAAGACCACATACAGTCATTCTCGGGGCTTTCCTGAAGACTGAAGCAGATAAGCAACCACAAAATATGATGTAAACTAATTGGTATCTAGTAATAAAAAATATTTACATTTTGGCCATAATATAGTCTACTAACCATGACAAAGATTTATATCTGATTGCCACAACCTTACTGTCACAACATTCTTTGTAGGAGTAATTTAAACATTCTACATTCAACTTATTAAAATTCTTCTTGTTTTAAAGTAGTAATACCATTTAATTCAATTTTTCTAAAATCAAAAAGAAAACCATTACTCAGTTGTATTCAACATGACAGAACAGTTAACTTAAGTTTTGTATATGCTTCATGATAGGAATAGCTTCTCACACAACACGTGAAATTGCACAGCCATATTAGAATCTAATTTTCTGATAACTTGTATTACATACAGTATTTTGGCTGACAAGTGACTCTCCAAGTTTTCGTGGCATCCCATGTCTAATACGTGTCGTAAGATAGAATATTTGAACTCAAGAAACATACTTTCAAATAATAAAAATTGTAATTTCAATTACATAATTAGAAGAAAAATAGCATAGTTGTTACATGCATTAATAAATAACCTTCGCATTAGTAGTAACACTACTAAACACAAACACTACATTTAGAAATCATTGCATTAGTAGTAATACTACTAAACACCAACACTACATTTAGAAATCATTGCATTAGTAGTAACACTACTAAACACAAACACTACATTTAGAAATCATTGCATTAGTAGTAATACTACTAAACACCAACACTACATTTAGAAATCATTAGTAATAACACTACTAAACACAAACACTACATTTAGAAATCATTACATTAGTAGTAATACTACTAAACACCAACACTACATTTAGAAATCATTACATTAGTAGTAACACTACTAAACACCAACACTACATTTAGAAATCATTACATTAGTAGTAACACTACTAAACACCAACACTACACTT